GGCATTATTAACTGCACACCTCTCCTACTTTTTTTTTTTATCAGCTTTCACTTATGATAGAGTTTTACTGTACTTAGAACCATGTACAGATGACATTTGGTGTCTATCTGTTATTTCATTGTTCTGTAGACACCAAATTTTGTGTTTAGGGAAAAGACGTGTATACTCCAAACCCATTCAGCTACCCCACAAATAGAAATGCTAATTAAGATCATGAATGGTAATAACTACTGGAACGAAGCCTTTGCTCCTGGAGTACTTAATTTATTGAGTAATTCTGCTCTTTTTCTCCTTGAAGGATCTCAAGGGAGCTGGCGTCAGGTTTTCAAGATGCTGAAACCTGCTCCTTAATAATTTCTGCTCACATACTCTTCCAATGAGGGCGTGATGCAGCACCCGCCTCCTCCCCAACCAGATGATTCCGGAAAGTACGGTGCTGCAAAAGGACATTTCAGAGAGCTTTCAACAAGCTAACTGTCCGGTGCAGTTCAGCTCCCAATACTGTTCAAGCCCTGTCAGTCGGGTAAATTGGGTTAACTTAGCAACTCGGTGGTGCAAAGCCTCCCCAAAGGCAGCACCGCGTTCAGGGAGAAGAGAACCCGCCTCATGCCTGAGCCGATCTTTCTTCCCTTGGTTGTCCTCCTTCATTATTATTCTGCAATGCACAGCAATCCCCGTGCGCGCCCCCGTGTCAACCCCTTAGCTGGCCACTCCAGCGGGGCTGGGAGAAGACCACCTTGGCTACTCAGATGACACTGTGCTGTTTAATTTCTTCTGCTTTCTCCCTTCGAGTCTAACTAAGCCCTTGCAGCACTTGAGCCTGGGGGCTGCCCTCCTGCTGGCCTTTTCCTCCTCGTTGAACGGATCTGGGGGACAGGGACGTTGTAGAAGAGCCACAATCCCCACTCATTGTTTCCCCAGTGTGCTTTCCGAACTCCCCGAGTGCGTCTTAGATAAGTTATTTGAGTGAGGACAGCGCTGCGGTCCGCCTGGAGAAAGGGAGCTTCCTCCGCACTTCTGTTTCATCGTGACAGCAGTGGTCGCATCACCACTGACCATCTGGAGTCCTGGGAACATTAACGCACTGTTACCCGCCAGGCGTTTCCGCTTAGGACACACTCACACCCACCCTCGGAGCATCCTAAAGGCTTCTCCGTGTCAATTCATGTGTCCTCCTCCCAGCAACACACACACACACACACGCGCACACACACGCGCGCGCGCGCGCGCACACACACACACACACACGCACATCAAGAGCCAAGTCAGCCACTCAGTTTCAACCACGGATGGTCCATGAAAAATTCAGGGAGGCTAGTCTTCTTAAAGAAATTAATAAGTATTCCCAGAGGAAATAGATGTGAGGGAGGGGAACCTGTCCAAACTACAGCAGGAGGGGCCCCTGACTCAAACACAAAGGTTACCTTTCAGTGGGTGTCTCAGTCCTGCTAGTGTTGGGGGAAGGGTTTTGATAATGGTTTTGGCCAGGTGGGTTTTTGTTTGCTGTTACCGTTTTGAAAAGACATTGATTCCCCTTCCCCCAGTCCCCTTTGTAAAGCTCTCTCAAGCTAAGACAGATCTTTTCCTGATGTGTTGGGAAAAACTGTCGCCTTATGGGCGAGGACTGAGGGTGTCAGTCCCCAGGGACACACGCAGGGCTGAAAGCTGCAGACATGGCCACCTGGGCAGGCGTCGTTAAAGATACTAATGAGTGCCTCTGGCAGCTCTTCCCCCTCATAAGACACCCGCGCCCCTCTCTAGTGGCAACTAACTGCGGGAGATGATGCGATTTCCACTTTTCCAAAAGACCTCTGTGGCAGGAGTAGTGTCTCCTTGGAATCTCAGAGCACAAGCAGAAACGTGGATCCTTCAAGAAGTAGCTCTGGCAAGAATCCTTGGAAAGACGCTCTGGCGTGGGGTGCGCGACGACGCACCCGGTCTCCCACCTGCTGCCTACCCAGAGATCTGTGCCTTCGCAGTACCTTCGCTGCACGGTGTGTGTTCCCCTGGGATCCATTGACAAGCAGCGTGGGAAAGCATCCCATGGGTGTCTCTTTCCATGGGCGGGACGCTTCAGCACGACTTGGAGATTCACAGTTTCTATCTGGGTGAGACCTAAACAGACACGCTGCAGCTGGAGGCATTTCAGAAACCTCTGCCTGTGTGTGTGCATGTGTACGTGTGTGGGGGGTTTGTGGGGGGAAGGAGGGGTGTTCAGTGAGAAATAGGCATGGATCAAGTCTAAGTAGCACCTGTCCTGCCCCACCCCTCAATTTGGTGCCCTCCACAGCCTTTTATTTCACATGATGACAGTGGAAATGAAATGCCAGTTAAAGGTTGTTTTCCTTTTCAGCCCCACCCGAGTGGTTCAGGCCTACCTACCTAAGACCACTTTCTACACTCTGAGGCGTTTCCTCCCACTAAGCCTCTTTGTCATTGCTGTTGCACGAAAAGGTGAGATGGTGGAGGGGTGAAAATTGTAGGCAGATGGTGGAATTCTCGTGGCTAGACCTGTTCACGTGGAAAACTGCGTGCCTCTGACTTCCTGGACCCTCACGCTAGTCTAGATTAGAATCTGCAAAATCCTTACAACGGCTCCCCAGTCTGAGATTTTCCATGGACCTGACAGTGCAGAGGAAAGTATAGAAGACAAAAGCGGGCATAGACATTGGGGCGAACAACGTTTAAGGCATTGCAGCAATCTTGGCTTTAGGAAAGCCTTGAGACAGGTGAAATGAAAAAAATGAGGAAAGGGAGAGTAACAAGCAACTATCAAAATTGGCATCATTCGGAGATTGACAGCAGGTCTAAAACATACAGCCTATGCAAGTTTCTCCGAATTTGGGTACAGTATTCCGAGTCTCAAAATGTAGGAGATGCCTTCCAAGTGCCAGTTGAGTGACAATGAATAACTTTATTGACACTGAAAAAAAAATTTTTTTTCGTATAGTTTGTAGAATATTGATTTTTGCACAGGGTCAAAGAAGGCTATGACATACCCTTCCTTCTCAATATCTCCAAAGCTAAACCGATTATATCAGTCCAAAGTAAATTAACGCGCCTTTCCTTTCTATCGGCGCATCTCATTCGGAAAATACGGTAGGTGCGGGCAGCGGGAGCTCTAATTGCAGGCGGCGCGGATCAGCGTTTGTCAGGCTGGAATGCTTGCCCCGCTTCGGAGACTTCCCTCCCCCTCATCTGCCCCCGAATGTGTTTTGGCTCAACAGGTATCACAGGAAAACTCGCACTTAACCCCTGGTCATCTTCTCACAGGAGTCACCCTTACATTTTTCTGACAGGGCTGCTGCTGGCTATTCGCGCCTCCCCCACGCGGAGCGCGCGTGTAGCAGGCAGCCCCAGGGCCATCCATTAACCACCAACTCCCAGTGGCAGGCGAACTAAGCATAAATGTGTGGCTCCTCACATGTCGAGGCAGCGACAAAGAAACCTTGTAAGCATCCTGAGCCGCGTTTTGTACATTAGGCAGTGTAGTTGTGCCACTTAGGACAAGCTTTTCGGCTCAGAGCTGCTCTGAGGCCCCAGAGGGAAAGGAAAAATCAAGCTTTAAGGAGGAGGTTGGGATTACAAGGCAGTTGCTGCCACAGAGACCGGGGCGACTTCCTGGCATTTTGGGATGTAAATTAAAATTCGAGACATGCCACCCATCATTGGTCATAGTAGAGGGAGAGGTAACCTCTCCAGCTCCCTCCTCCCAAAACATGAATTATCATTTCCACTGAATGCAAATGAGCCGCCTTCCGTGGGGGGACAGCCAGCTGCAAGCTGGACAATAAACTGTTTCATAGAGACGCGGCCCCATTGCGGTTCAGAGAGGCACTCCTTTACAAAGGAAGAAGCGTCCAGTTTGTGTTGACAGCCCTGGCGCGCCTGGGCCAAAACAGCACCCCCTTTCCCGCGATCCCCCGCCCCTCCCGCGACACACAGACACCCGGGATTTGAAACTAGCTTCACTGAAAGCGACATCCATCGCGTTTATTGGAGCTGCCATGAGTATGGAGAGGTGATTGTTCAAAAAATGATGGCATGAGTCATAGACACCTCCTGAGTATTCTTTGCAGCAATTAATGGGCAGCAGGGTGCAGGAGAAGTTGTGGAAGAGAGCTATGGATCTATTTTCTCCCAAAGGACAGCTCTTTTTCCGATGATCCTGACTGTCCCTTGCCTTCCTGCTTGGGAATGCATTTTTACATCTCATCTACCCCCTCCCCTTGTCTGTGCATGTGACACTCACTCTACCTGTCTGAACGCTGAGACTTGCTGGGGATTTTCTTTTTGGTCGTCAGCTAATGACTTTCCTCCTACCTTCATTCATCCCCTAAGGTGGTTCTTTACACTTCATGGCATTTCAGACCCTTTGAAAGCCTCATTTTTTGCCAAACCTCTACCACAGGTCCTAGGGAAGCTCTCCTACATTTAACATTGCATAGAAGCCCACGTAGAAATAATTTACATACATATGCATGCAGACATTCATGATGGTGTGGCAGTGCTTGGAAGATCCCTGTGCCCTCATGCATTTAAAATCAACACATTCCTAGCACATCGGTAACTTTCTTTCCTGAAAGGGTTAAAAAGCATTTAGACCAGTCTTTAATATAAATATTCCACCCAAAGCATCAACCCCTAGTGATCTGACGAGAAATCAAGGTAATCCTCACCACTAAGAAAAGTCTTGCAGAGGAATTCTGCCTGGATATCCACTAGTTAGAGGCTATACTAACCAACTCACGTATTCGTTTGAGCATACTGCAAGAATATTTATTGAGCACAAGCTCAATCACCGCATTGAACGCCAAATCTGGCAAGCAAAATGCATTTCCTATCTGAGGGGGGGAGAACGAGCTGTGAATCAACTCCTTCTTTAGTATTATCATGATTATTTTATCGGTGCAAATTGCAAAGTAAGCTGCCAGCTTCTCTCCATCTACAAGTCAGCCCACCTCCATCCAAAGCGGAGGGGACCCCCAAAGCAGACCTACCTTTCACACAAGACACCGTCAATAAAAAGACGAGGTTCCAAAACGTAAATCCACTTTTAATCCCCATTTTCTTCATCAGGATGAAGTCTAGGCGGCCACATTTAGCGCATCTTCGCGTGCCAGGCTCCCAGGGTTTGGATTCCTTTGCTCGGCTTTCCCCTTTGCGGATCCCTTTCATATTATTCGCGAGCTCCTAATTCCTGCTCCTCAGCCCGGCGCAGTGGAGTTGTTGCTGTTGTTGGTGCGCGGTCACAGCTCGGAGTGAATGGTGTTTCTGGGATACCACAGCAACCTTGACGAGGACTCAACCATCTCTCCAACGGGGGCACAAAGTCTCCGCTACTCTGGATTCTGTCTTTTCTTGTGCGTTTTTTCCCCTCCACCAAAATCTACCCCAATTCTAGCTCGTTATAGCAACCACCAGAAACCACTAGTGAGCCTCTAAAAGCCCAGCTCTGCTCTCTGATAAACTCTACACAATATTTGAAATTAAGGGGCTTGCTTTTTTTCCCCGAATAGATCAATTCTGCCTGTAAAAGCTGCCCAAGAAATAATATGTTAGTGAGCTCTCCGTTGCAGGCTGCGAATACAGAAGCATGTCAAAGGAATATTTTAATCGGAGGATCTGTGTTGCTTTTGGGGAAACTGTGACGATAATGAATCGGGCTCCATCGATGCCCACGTCGTTATAATGGGACATGTGTTACTACTGTAGTTGCGGTATATTTCAAGCAGGCTTCTCCCATTTATTATCCTGTGATTTAATTGAAAAAGGAAATCACAGAGAATTTTCTCAATAAATTCTTCCTTCACACAGAGAAGAATGTATTTGAACACATGTGTTTACATATTCAAATAACTACGTGTAAACCCGTCACCGGGTTTTTATGATTCGGTAAACGGATTTCATCAGTGGCCTGGGCGGGGGTGGGGTGGGGAGGGAAGTCAGTATCGTTTCCCCAAATAGTTCGCCCTTTCATCCTCCCAACCCCCATTTCAGTTGGTGTGTGCCGCAGTTAAACTATCTGTGGTAGTTATCTAGAACGAACCCATTTGCCTTAATTCTGAATCGGTACCAAATATGTAAATAGGAGGTTTCTTTCAAAACGAAAAATGTATGTATCTATACATCTGGATCTGCCTCCCCCTGCCCGCCCCCCACCCCGTGCACCACGCAAGGGTTAAGATTGCACAAGGGAAGAGTTCTTGCGCCATCTACTGGCCGTCTTCGAGCCGCCCGTTCTTCCTTCGCATGTATAAGGGACCCTGTTTTTCCCATCCCTTGGTGTAGGGGAGCTGTGTCCCCAAGACCAGCAGGTCGTGCTGCTTGATTTTTTTTTCCACCACTGTCCTGACCCAAATCTTTCAATGAACAAGTTCCTTAGATTAGGCAACTGATTGGTGATCTGATCTTTTCGGGAACCTGGTCCCCTTTCAGCCGTGGGAAGTGCCACAGCGCTAGTTCTGAAACAGGATATTGCTGCTGCCTGTGGCTCCATTTAACTGCCTCAGGCTATGAGAGGCGAGAGCGTCTATCTACAAGGCTTAGTCTAGAGGACCGCCCAACTTGAGTCTGCAGCTCCACGCACTGTGCACAAATAATGGGTTTGGTCCCGTGCGCCACACTACTACCCTGGCCAGCTTTTGCCCCTTGGCTCGCGTTGGAGCTGCCCGCTCAGTCGAGCAAGGCGGTAGCATCTGGAGGGAGTTCCGCTCTGGGAAGTGGGCACACTGCGAGTGTCCATAGGTTTGAGTGGCGAGTGAGTTCAATCTGCAGGCGTAGGAAGGCTTCTGAGCTCTCGGGGTACGTGGCATTGTGTGTGGATCTGTGATTCTCCCAGTTCGTGTGTGTGTGTGTGTGTGTGTGTGTGTGTGTGTGTGTCTCTACGCAAGCGAGAGCATAAGCGCGCTGTAGTGAGAGGTAAGTGTGCGTGTTTATGAAAGATACAAAGAGTGATTTGCCATGCGTGGGTGTTTTCCCAAATGTATTTTTGCAGTACATATGCGTGTGCATGCCTGTGCGTGTTTGTGTGTTACAGAGGAATTTCTCTTCTGGGTAGGGAGCTGTAGCAAAAGGTAAAAAAGCTGTAGACGCCCAACTGACCTCATTAAATTCAGAGAGATACTTTAAGAGCCCTCAGGCAGAACACTGTCCCTTCTTTTCAGCGCTCTCTTTCACTGTCTGCATATGCAGGTTTGGAAGGGGAGTGGGCGACAAGGTAGGGACTAGACCATGACGGGCAGGATGAACATGGAAAACGACATTAGCCTGCTTAGCCACCTTGGCAGCTGCTCTGGCATGGATTTCAGTCAAGATGTCAGTGTGTGGTGTTGCTGCTGTTGTGTATGCTGGGCTGGACTACCAGTTAGAGATGCAAACAGGTCCTTGGACTTAATGAGGATGCTCAACAAAGCCCTCCCTATCAAGTTTGCAGAGGTTAGTCACCCCAACTGAATTTACTTTTTATTAAAAGAAACAAAAATACTGGGTTTTGTGCAATCTGTTTGAACACATAACACATGGCTATAGCTATACACCCAGACAGGAGGACTTCATGCCAACAAACAAACAAATAAAAAAAAGCCCCCAAAAAACCCTTTCTCAAAAGACAGGGTATTTTAATAGTAATTATGGTGCACAAAATAAGAAAACTTTGATTAAGAGACCGTAAAGATCACTGCTAAGATACCAATTTCTGCTATTTATTTTCAAACACATGGCTAATCCTGTAATCCAATTATCTTTCCCTAAATGAATCCTGCCTATCATTTCATGTGAAGTTGTTAAAAGATTTATCTGGAATCTCATAATGTTTTGAACAATACTATAGTATCTAGTTTCTACAGCTTACAATAAATCACAAACCATTTTCGCCTGTATCTTCCAGCTTCTGAGACAGGATGGAAAATAATAATTCACAGACAGGAAAAGTTAAGGCATGAGGAGCTAAAGTGGTTTATCGAAAGTCACTATCAGGAGCTTTGGTGTTTAGTCCAATGTGTTTAGTGCTAGATCTCACCAGTCTTTCGTGGTGAACAGCATCCTCTTTAAGGAAAGATTTCCAAAGGTATTCCAGAAACACACAATTTTCCGCCACAATCCTGGGTGAGAATCCTTTAGTTTCTCCAGAAGGAGGGAAATGAAAAACAGTGTCTACATTTGGGAGACAGAAATTATCTATTGTAGCTGATCTGTAGGAAAGCAACACAGCTATACGTTCATTTGTGTAAGACTATTAGAAAGAGATTATGGAAAAAATAGCTAACATAATAGCAAACTTCAGGTGTTTACTGTACATTAGGCATTGTGCTATGTTTACATTACATATCTTATTCAATCCTCACTACTTTCTGAGACAAGCTCTACAGCTTTCTGAGACAAGCATAACAACTATCCTAGTTTTACAGATGAAAAAAAAAATGATACCCATATAAGTTAACTATCTTGCCTTGCCTGAAGTAACACATGTAAGAAGAAGTATGAACCTATGGCACCAGATTTCAGAGTTAATATGCTTCCCTACTGTACTATATTTTATGCTGGCTCCCAAAGATGCTTGTTTTGAAATAGTCTAGTAACAAAAAGAGTGAATCATTTTTATAGCACACATGATGCATAGTTATATAAAAGCAATAATTTATAGTTTATAAGTGATAAAATTTTAGAATATATATGTATACATATAAATAAAAACTTTTGTCCTTCTTTTTATACTTGTCAGTTACTAAAATTCCTCTTCTTTTTTAAAATTTTTATTTACTTCTTGCAGCCTATTGATCTTCCCACATATAGGTCGTGGCAAAACGTGACTTGGCAAGGATCATCAAGACACAATGATTAAGTACCCTTACGAGCTTTTAAAAAGAGGTTAAATCAGAAATGCACAAGCTCTTTAAACTAGAAGTACTAGATTTCCATTCCTTTTCAGTTCCTTCCCCAAATACCTGTAGAATACAATTAACTTTGATTTTAAAATAGGGCTGAATTGCACTAAAAAAGATAAAATAACCCCTCTCCAAAAATTGCCCAGTATTAAACTAGCCCCTTCAACATTTAAATATCACCACAGGAACACTATCAAAGATAAATGAATAAAATAATCAAAACAAAATGAGTACACTGAGAAAACACAACGTAAAATTGTGGGAAGGGCGTTACCTTTAATTTCGGAAAGAAGTATATACTTTTGACAGCTATAAACTTAGAAAGTGTTTTTTTTTTTAATTTATATAATAGATATACAGGTTTACATGGGGATTCTTGCTTAAGTGAAGTATTTTTTATAGAAATGTTCCTGCCTATTAAAACTAAATGTTCATTGACTGTAGACACATAGACACACACACACACACACACACACACACACGTATTTAATTAAACGGCTGAAAACCAAATCTGTGGGTCTGTGAGAAAAAAACTAGGTAGAGTAAGATAAAATGTTAATGATTACAGATAACCAAGCAGATATTTTCCTGCTCATTTGCAGTTTTTATATGGAATTCACTGCCAGGAGAGTAGAGGAAAAAGAGGAACTCATTTTTCTCATTTTTCAATAAATACTCATTCTTGGATTAGTCTTGTCTGACCTCTCCAACTCCTGGGAAATAAAATATTTGAATTTAAATGTTGAATCTAGAATAATGACAGGATTCTAATTTAAGTATATGCATTACCTTGATTTATAAATGTCCTCATTTGTTGAGGAAAAATGAAGGTAAGAGACCTTGTATTCATGTTAAAGTAATTTTCTTTAAAACAGCAATATTTAAGAAGATAAATTATCAAGCTGGTAGAAGGATCTGTCCTTCCTGCTGTAAATCAGGAACCATTGTAGAGAGGTGGAAACAGGCCTGTTGGAAGAGTTCCTAAGTGTGCCTTCCTAGGAATTCATTTCTCTTATGTCCTGCCTCCTCTTGCAATTTCATTAATACTGAAGCTTAACAGGCATTGCAGTGTTTTTAAGCTTATAACAACATTAAGAACACCAGACTGAAGTTTATATGATAAATCAAGGTAGTAATGTTGTATTTTAAAGAACAAGAGAACACAAAAGCCTTAAAACTGGACATTGTATTTATTGCTGTATTCACACAGACGAACTATATCAATTGACTACAAAAAAAAAAAACAAACACTTTTTATGTGAGCCACAAATCTAATAATTTTGCCTACTTTCAAATTTTCTCAACTGCTGCATTCTTAAACATGCAAAATTTAAAATTACATATATTAAATAGTTTAAGATGAACCATATATGAGCTCTGTTTCCTGAAAGGAGGGATTTATGGTAAATAATTGGGGGGCATTTGGGTAATTATCCTGAAAGACAGCAGATAAGAAGAATAAAGAGATTCTTTAAAGATTTCTCTGTTTGTCTTGAGTGTGTTTCACTCTCTTGCTCACCTGGGATTGATATTATGTAACTTGTCTTTGCATAAAAGAATATAAACAAAGAGTTAAGCAAAAGGTAGCTTTGCTAAATAATCAAGATAATTCAGGTCTCTGTGTTTCATCAGTAATAAAGTTGTGTCACTGACATTATCTGAATAAATCTCAATTCCCGGTATAGCAGATCTTTTTTTCATCATTCTTTAAACTCACATACACTGTATAGTTATGTAGTATCAGTTTCAAATGTCCTTAAGAATACATAAATATCCAGGCCCAGTGGCTCATGCCTGTAATCCCATTACATTGG